GGGGGGGAAATTTAAAAAAAAAATTTTCCCCCTCCCCCCCCCCCCCCCCCCCCACTGAAATGGACCCCACTTGTTGTGGGGGGAGAATGGAGAAGGAGAAAGGAGTGCTGGCACTTGAAACACTGATCACCTGCTTGGGGTTGCAGCTGAGTGCTGATTTGGGGAATATTAAAGGAATAGAACGAATGACACTGACATTGGTTAGGATGCAGTTGTTACACCCCTTCTATGACCAAAAATGAAAGCTGCATTTTGCTCAAAAGCGAAGGCCTCAAATGATACAGTAGTGAGTAGCTCTAAGGCAGTGTTGGAGCCCTGGTTTCTCTGGCCCCCTCTATGCACTATACGTATATGGAATTGGAGACCAGCTACTTGTGCAAAGTAGCTATCACACCATAAAAAGCTCCAACCAGCTATAAAGTTAGACCTGGGAAATGTACTAGCTTTATAGCTGGTGCTATCCAGCTTTAATTTGAATGTATAGCAGGTTCTTCTCTGTGGCTGGGAGTTCTGTCATCTGTGGGCTCCTACCCACAGGGGTGCACCTTGCCCAGCCAAGGCTTTGAGTCCCTCAGCTGCTAAGACCTAGAGTCCCGCAGCTGTGGGACTGAGCAAAGTGCTGAGCCAAGCTGGACCCTGACAGCCGCAGGGCACAGCTGTGATCTGCCAGCCCCAGGGGTGCTGAAACCCGTGGAGCAGGGAGATCTCTGCTGCAGAGATCTCCCTGTCTTAGGGGGCTTCCAGCTACAAGAGCTTGTCTCTTGCCAGTGTGGGGGGAGCCTGCACCAGCAGTAAAGCGCTGTGGGATCTAATGCACGATCCCACAATCGCACCTCATGCCATGCATGTGTGGCAGGGAGGAGGTGTGATTCTGTGGAGTAGATCCCATTCCACCTTTACCTGCATGTATAGAGAGAGCTTCTTTGACAGAAAGCAGATAGTTTCATATACTGACTTGCAGTTCCAAACACTTGGGGCACTTAGGTTTTCCCAGGAGATTTTTCATACAAGTACTGATTCATCATGAACGTATTAGTCATTCATATGGCCCTTTTTCCTTTACAGTCGTTTAACAGCTTTACTCATTACACCATCTTGCTGATGAATAAAACTGAGCTGTTGTGACTTACCAAAGGGCATTCTATCAGTCTGTGGCAAAGCCAGAAATTCTAGTTCCTATTTCACTTTTCCAACCCTAAACAGAGTTCTCTGAAGGAGAAAAATGCATGATGGATTTAGAAAAATATATACTGTAATTTTGTAGATTTCACAAGTTTCTTATTGCCCATTCAAGTAAATTGCTTCTGACTTTCTCTCTTCTTCTCCCTCTTTAGAGTTCTTGCGAATGTTTCCTCCATTAAGACCTTGGTGGAGAACCTGCTGTCCTTTAATGGCTGCTGCTGCCGCTGGTTGATCAGTGGGAGGCTTTACAGTTTCTTACTCCTTGGGAGGATACATCTACTTCCCTTATTTATTTTTCCGTGTGGTGGTATTTTTTCCACTGACCACACGGGTGGAAAAAGAAGATGCCACTGCCTTTTGGGCTGAAATTGAAACGAACTCGACGTTATACAGTGTCCAGCAAGAGCTGCTTGGTGGCTCGCATCCAGTTGCTCAACCATGAATTTGTGGAGTTCACCCTCTCTGTGGAGAGCACGGGCCAGGAAAGCCTGGAGGCTGTAGCTCAGAGGCTTGAACTTCGGGAGGTAAGCAAACTAGCAACTGGACACCTTGACTTCTCTAGCCGTCTCTTGCAGTGGATTACCTAACCCAGTGATTCTCTACTATTTCACACAACAAAGTGTGCCCTTGAAAATAACCAGATTAAATTTTTGTCATGTACTAGACATCTCAGCTTCCCTTTAATTACATATGTTCTGATCCAAAGTGGAACTTTGGCTTTTGGAGCAGTTCATCTTGCAATTAACATTAAAAAGAATGCACAAAAGAATGGGACATGGCAGCTGTGCATCAGGTTTAGCATAGAAGTTTCCTGTGCTGGGCAAAAGATATTGGTTCTTATTTGTTAAACACTGACTGTGTTTGTGGCACTGTGTGAGACAAGACAACTCAAAGGGACAGAGATAAGATGAATGATTTCTAAACAAATATTCAGCTAACTGGATAAAGGAAAAGTTTTTATGAATGTCCTGACAAACTTATTTGCTTGTGTGGGTTCCTGGTAAACTGGTGCTGGGAAAAGATTCAAAGTATCAGTACACCAGTACCAGTGCACACTGGTGCCTGGGTATTTGCAGCTGTGTGTGCATGTACCATGAATGTGCGTGCATGCATGTGTGTGCCTACATTCTGTGCTTGAGCTAGCCCATAGCCAGTTAAATGCATAGCTCATCACAAAGAGATGCTTGATTTGCATTAGCATAGTATTTGGATACTCAAATTAATTTTGAAAATTAAGTTAGTTTGGGATGAAGTATACTCCTAGTAACTCTTGTTTACTTTGGTCTAACTCACTGGGGACTGACTTCCTCCAAGAAAACTTTTATACTGCACCTACAGAAGATAGACCCGGGAACAAACTTTTGGAAAACATGGAGTTGATACAGACAGTGGTTTTATGGCTCATTATAACTTTCTTGCTTTCCCTCTCTTTGCTCCCCAGGTGCTAACGGCCACGCTTCCTTTGGAATGGTCTTATTCTTTAAGACTATTAGATATAACTAATGTTCTTTATTGGATATGTAGCTACTTCTGATACTTTTTCTTTCCTCTGCAGGTTTACTGCCCGTGTCTGTTTTAAGTGATCACTTTTATTAATGAGGTTAAAACAAAACTAATTGTTCTAACTGGTATTTATCTTAGACCTTATCTGCTCCTTTTCCAGACCTGAGGAAGGGCATTTTGTGCTAGAAACCTTATCTAACATTTCCCCATAACATAAGTTGGTCCAATAAAACATAATTCTTCACCTTACAAATGTTGCGTCTTACATATTTCCTCCATCATCACAAGTACGCTATGACCACATGACTGAGGCTGTTCATTCTTTACATTATTCACATCTAAAACATTGAATTATAAAACTGAGCTTTTAGATTTCCATTTATTTAAGGATGTGGGTACACACAGGCCTGCTTTGAAAGGGCTGTATTTGTTTTTGTTGTAATTCCATTAGCTTCAGTGGAAGCATGCCAGAGACAAATATGGCCCCTTTGGTTGTATGCTGTTGACACAATCTGAAAGTTATGCTGCATTCCAGAACAGCAAATCAGTCTGACTTATTGCAAGAACCATGATATTGAGTTATCTTGTGGAGCATTACAAATGTATTGATTTCCCTTTTTGGCAGAAAATGAAGTAAGTAAAAAAACATATGAAGTAGAAGAGTTGCAAACAGGAATGACCATATTCTGCATGCTATTACTAGCCAAAGAGCAACTATTATTATTATTATATTTTCGATTACTATTTGTTCACATACACTGAATGCCTGCCTATATACGGGACTTAAACATAGGATAAAATCTCAGACTGAGATACACAACATAAATAGAAAAGGAATCTGGAAAATAAATGTCTTTTTCAGTTACGGGTAATTAATAACTCATCAATTTATCAAAATATATTTCTAGCTTAAAGCAACTGCAGTAACTTTTGGGGCAAACTGATATGGGGCATGTCTTGCAAATACTCTTATGTACAGAATGGGGCTGAAGGATTATTTATAGCAGAATTCTATAAAATGGCCTTTTATTCTGTATTCTGAATAGTTTAATAACAGATGCATAGAAAACACCCCACATAAATCCATTGATTTTTTTTCAGCACTTGCTTACTGTGACTTGTTAGTTGTCATCTCCCTTGTAGATTATTGTCCACTGTCTTTTTAAACCTATTATTTTAAAATATTGTGGGTTTTTTTCCTATACAAGGCAGATGATTTTTCACTGCCTTGTATTCTTGTCATGCTGTGCTGTAGCCAAAGAAAAAATACATAAAGGCCTCCTAATTATCTCGGTATTGTACCAACATGTATTGTAGCAGCTCTGGATGGTGTATTTTTTACAAAACTAGAAAGTGTGTTTTTAGTGGAGTTTGGTGGCATCTGAAAGTGGTAAACCCAATTGATGCTGAGACAATTTACTGCAGTAAGAAGAGATCTTAATTCATTTGGTTTGCAAAAAGCATAGGTGCTATCTACTCCGGAGGAGCCTTCCCTGACATATAGTAAGTCATATATGTGGTCCAAGGGAATGCACTTTCTTCACTTTGCTCTCCATTATCTCTCCCTTTTTGCTATTGGTCCTGACATCTTCCCAAAATGATGGAAGTTCCCTTAATTATAATTGAGCATGCCAGAGATGTAGGGAGTAAAAGCCAGACTGCTGAACTTTGAACAAATTCTTCTGGTAACACATTCTTACATGGATTATTTTGGCAGAGAAATGTGCTGAAGTGAAATAGAGCTGGAGATGGGGATATAAATCATCATTCTTAAACTCCCCCTCAGAAGAACGCTATTTGCCTTTAAATGTTTATTCCAACAGGCACTGAATATGTCCTGACTGCTTGTTAAGTACAAGGCCTCCAGGAAGAAAACTTTGTCACTCATGGTCTTGTTTAGTTTTGTAGCAGCAGATTTAGGCCTTGATCCTGTGAAACACTGAGTGCCTCTGTGAGATGCTGCTTATTAATGTATTAAGAGTCCTCATGTCAGGTCGACATTAATGGGAGTTGAGGGTGCTCAGGGCCACGTCAGATAATGCCTGTTCATTGAGGTGATTGTGGTTTAGCCCAATTACTGTGAAAACTAGAAAGTGGTTCAGGTGTTGTACATGGGATATGCAGGTATGATATTGTAGTAAAGTAGGCAGTCTTTTAACACACAGCCTTTTCCAATGGGATTGTTTTAAATCTGTATGTTAAAGACAGTTTAAAGAAAACATCTAATAGTTATAGAAATTTTATTTCATTTCCTGTGTACTGCAGTTTGTTATAGTTATTGAATGTGGGATTCTGAGAAACAATTTGTTAAGATTTTTATTTTAAAACTACTTCTTTTTTTTAATGCTGGTCAGTTCTAGAGGTAACTTTTAAAAAAAAAAAAGTATTAATGGTTTTAAATCCTGTTTCGCGTTATTAGACACTGGCTTTACCAGTTCCAGTGGCTGTGTTAGTAAGGTGGTGTGGTATACTGGTAAGAGGAAGAGGGTTCAGGAAATCTGAGTCTGGTATCAACTTGGGCATGGCAGTGACTATAAACGTCACAAAAAAAGTAAGGAAGAATCTATTAGACAGTGAAAAATGAGTCACGGAGTTCCCAGAATATGAATCTGAGGAAATGTAAATATAACCCACCTCCCTTAAATCACAAAGTCTGGGTGAGAAGCCTAGTGAAAAACAGTCTCAGATTCACTCTCAGCAGTGCTTCGGTCCAACTGTTTGTTGTTGCTGCAAGAGGGGAATACAAGTTGGTTTGCAAACTTGTAACTTTTGGTGTTATATAACAGGCTGTTCTTGTGCAAGTTTTATCATATGTAAAATTTGTCCTGTTAAGTTTGTTCTGGTTTTACACTGTGCATCATGGTTGGCATGCATAACTCCTTACAAGATGCTCCCATTTCACATATCTGAACAAATTCAGCTATCTGCACAGCTTTCCAAAGGAATTCGTAGAGACGAGGCTGTCCTGTGTAACCTAAACTCGGAGGCTGTGTTTATCAGAAGAGAAAAATCTAATATTGCAGATTTGAAAAAGAATCAAGAACTCTAGTTGTGAACCTGGTTGCAAATGGGTTTAAAGGTGTTTGTTTCCAACATGTAATCTCATTTGTGTATACTCTAGACATGAACATAAGCATTAGCAAACATCAGAGGGACTTGACTTGGCTACAGTCAGATTTTGTTGCCCACTGTCTTTTGAGTATCCTTAGAGAAAGCACATCCATAAGTACTTTGAATTCAGTTTTTTTTTTTTAATGTGAATTTATGAGATAAATACACAGGTTGGTTTGGTTTGATTGCTAAGCCAAATGCTGTCATAATATTATGGCTACTGACGTACAACCAAACATACTTTTAAAAATGGTATCAGAAAAATAACCGGTAGATTAAACTTTGTTGCAAGACCAGGAACGACAGCTTGGTGCACATACTCATGCTCATGCCCAGCTTAATAGGCTAAGTATGACAAAGTGTTAGCCAAAACTTTGACAGGTACCTGTAAGAGCAGAATGGAGTTGTGGGCTGGAATGGATAAGTTTTGGTGTCTAGCCTAGCTCTGAGATTGGCTTTGGTGGAAGTTTGTATAATACAGAAATCCTTAGGAGTTTTCTCATGTGATTCTTTAAGTTCTTGTTAGTTTAAGAAGTATTTGTTTATTAAAACCTAGAGTGAGCACTACAAATAATATTCCATCTAAAAGCACATTCATTTCACAAACCTCAAAGTATCCTATATGCCACCATCTGGGATGAAATTGTAGATGGACCAAGCAAGGGTAGGGCCAATGGAATGGAAGTTCCTATACATCGAAAAGCTGTAGGGGAAAGGATGAAGGATCTTTCCTTTGCCTGGAAAAAAAGTTGTGTATATAGTACAAGTTTTCTCATTCTATGCTCATAAAGCTGAACAGGACAAAAATGGATGATAGTTTTTATTGAAAAATTGAGACACGATCGGGTAACATTAACTCTGAATTCTTTCACTGTTATCAAGTTAAGTCAGAAACTGAAATTACATATTT